GGGGGGGGGGAAGGGGATATATATAACAGGAAATATATTTGAGTTTTCATTTAATCATAACTACTCATTAGAGATCCAATGTCTTCTCTCTTCTCTCTCTCTCTCTCTCTCTCTCTCTCTCTCTCTGTTTCTCTCTCTCTCTCCACACTCTGATAATCTTATACTCCGGAATACTAAACTCTCAAAGTGACGTCATATAATATTACTTCATTTTAAATTCATGATAATAAAGTCATCTATGTGGTATGAGAGCTCAACTGCGCGTCAACGTGCCTCATACCGTCGCACTCGTGCGCGCCGAGACGCGGGACGCGAGACGCGCGTGTCGGCGTGCACACGCGACTTCGATAATAGTACGTATATACAGTCTGTCGAGAGAGAAGAATACGAGTGTTGTGTCGTACGCGAACGCGTTCCTCATCCGACTCGACGTCCGATCGTTTCCCCAAGTTACCTTCCGACGTCGAGCTCTCTCTCTCTCTCCGTTTCGTCCTCCGACAAGCTTCGAATACGCCAGGTGAAGCTTTCCCACGGAACGCAAACGCAAAGTGAAACGGTCAAACAACGAGATTACAATAAATCCTCGTTTGAGATCATTTTGAATGTTTCCATCATTTTGAATACACACCGACCTCGGCGCGCGCCGATAGCTTTCGGCAGTTGATCCCAAATTCACAGTCGCGCTAGAATCAACGTACCGCTCCAATTTACAATTCGTCGCGTTTGTCCGTTCCATTTTCATTCAACGGAGTTTACGCGCGCTAGTGGAACGCGATTTGTCGGCCGATAATCGAGGCGTTTCGAAGGCGGCGCGCGTAAAACGGTTCAGAGCAGCCCGCGTCGAGTTGACTCGCGAGAAAAGGACCCGGACCGCCGAGTTCGCGAGGAACGTATCCACGGATCCCTCGCGTCCTTCTTTCTCAACATCCTGTATATACAGGGGGTCCCTGGTCGGTCGCGCTTTCGACGACAAACACCGCGCGAACGGCCGATACCGTGTGTGAGCGCTTAAAAAAAAAATACCTCCAGTCCGGCGGATACACCGTGTGTCCCTTGTCAGTCTTAACGTGCCCGTCGACATCACATGCCGAGCGTGGCCGTGGAGCGGCAACGTCCGCCTCTCGCCCGAGGACCGCCGCCGCCATGAGATTTTCTCACGCGCGATTCTCCTCAACCACCAAACGCGTTAAGTATTATCGACCGAATGCGCGAGTAACTAGGAACACCCTGTATATACATGTATATATATATTTTTTATATATAACATATATAATCGCTACCTGCATATCACAACATAAATTTAATTCTCTCTTTGACACTCTCTCTCTCTCCCTCCCTTTCGCTCTCACCCATTCGCTCCCTCTGCCTCTTTCTCACTCGAACGCGATACACTCAATTTACGCAAGCATGCACACAATCCCGTCTACAGAATTATTATAACGCTGCGGTACTGTGATAGTGGTTGAGTTTCTAAGCATCGTAGCGCCGTTCCAGGGCGCGTCTCAGGATGCAACGCTCAGAGCAGAACGTAGCCTCTCGCCACCCCGGTGTGTTCCGTCCCTTTGGAAATTCTCTATTCCGTCTTGCCGTGCGTGCACACGAGTTCCCTACGCGGGGACGAAGCGGAACGCGCGATTGTCCGCCCCCCCCCTCGGTCCTCGGGGGCCGAGCGGGCGCTCTGACCGCGGTTAACTGAACGACAGTCCAAGTTAACAGACACGGTTGCCCGGAATTCTGCGATTCCAGCCTCCTTTCGCGAGACAGAATAGCGGAATTGAATTAAACTGATTGCGGCCAAGTCGAGCGATCGGAACTTAAGTTAACCGGAGGGTGTCAACGGAAAATAACAGACGCCAGCCGATCTTGCGGATAACGTCTACTCCCTCCTGCGGCAATTACAATTATTACGGTCGTAATGCGGGGAAAAGACGGGGGCATCGCCGACGAAAATTTAGTTAAAGACTGTTAACTAAATTTACGATCGTCCTCTTTCTTCGCCGATATTATAGCTAGAGCTGTATGTAATCTAGGGAAAGGACAAGGAATCCCTAAGTAAAATTTAATTAAGGCTGCTAACTACATTTACGATTATCTCATTTACAGTCTAACGATGTAAACGCCGTAGAAACGAAGAAGTCATCGCCACGCGAAGTTAAACAGAGCGATTAATAAAATTGATCATTCAGTTAACTCTGTGCGGCCAACCGAAATTTCCGTCGAGTCAACTAACTAATTTAACGAACACGATCCCATTGTTTCTTCTCACATGATCCTTTACGGCATCGCGACGACGCCGCGGTCGCCGGGTTGGGGAGGGACAGGGAAAATAGTGCTAATCGGTCCACGCGTGATTCGAGATGCAAACGAAATTCTACCGGCTGATCAAATCCTTCTCGGTCCATCGGTTATATCACAACAAGAGCCGTAGCGTCCGAAGTAACGTCGTTAGTCCAAGTTAATCGCCCTGTCCGGCGCGACTCGGCCGGAGATCTCTCCTCCTCGGCAGGGTGATCGTCGTGCCGACGACGAGCCGCTCGTCCTCTCGAGCGGGTCTCCCTCGCGGGCGCGTATCGATCGCCGCACGCATTGCCGCCCGCCAAACGAACCGAAATAAGCGATCGGCCCGACGACGTGGGGGACTCGTTCACCGGGAAACGCATCGTCGCGCCGCTCCTCCTCCGATGGTCGTCGACGTGTGTCGCGCGAGCGAGACGGTCCGTTTTTCTTCCTTCTTCTCTCGCCATCTCCCCCTTGCCACGCTGCTCACGAGCTCAGCCACTAGCGGTCGTACATCAGCACAGAAATCTTAGAAACCATGGCTCAGCGCGCTGCGGGTGAGCCCGAGCTCGCCCATGCCGCATGCCCATCCGCCACGAGATCCACCATCGACGTCGGCGACGGCCGCCGGGGGACGACTTAGAGTATGCAGCAGGACGCCGAGCAGCAACTGCTCCCGCCGCCTTTACTTTTTTGTCTCTGATCTGCAACAGAGCAGCGCACACACCGTTCACTCGCGTGCCCTCAGCCCTGGCGACGCCAGGGGGTCGAGTCTGTATCTTACAGTACAGCGAAGACGCTAAAAGCCCTTTGTCTCTTTCTAAGCGGATAGTTGGCAAGAGACAAAGCTATTCACTCGTAGCTGTGGCGTAAGACACAGAATTGACCCCCAGGTCCCTGGCGTTGATTCACGTGTCGCCAAGTCTGGGGAACGAAAAGAGAAATGCGTTGTAGAACAAGTTTGCTTCGTGCGTGTTAAATAACTCGCCGACAACCGAAATGGAGCGTTCATTAATCATCGAACACCAATTTTCCGAGGAGTCGTATCGTATACTTTTGAAAATTTCATTCGTGCATAATAATTAATCGTCTCTTCTTGTGCCCGCGAAATTAACTTTAACGTTATTCCGTGATCCAACGAATAAACGTTTCTTTCTAGTTAAGATTGACGAGTTTTTAAGCAATTGACAAGGAAGTGGCACTTCAATTCTTTCTCCTGTCACTTAATTTATTTTCAAAGTGAAAATTTCATCGTTCACAAATCAATACACATTATATTCTTCACGTCTAAAATTTGTGTAAATTTTAGTTGAGTAAATAAACCAAAGACATTAATAGTATACGTTTTTAATATTTCTACAAAAGAAATGATTTTGTAAACAATTAAATTCACGAGGCTTTAACGTGAAATCACAATCCAAAGAAATAAAGGATATAAGAGCCAAGACAGAATATTAGCGTCTAAATGATTTTAATTTTTTGATTTATTGCAAACAATTGAAAATGAGTGATTTTCTATTCTTTCACTATAAATTATAGTGTGTATCATTTATTGAAAATAGAAGCGCCAAACTGTTGAGTTATTTTCAGAAAAGGATAAGTTCTGCAGGGATTTCTCCTTCATTTAGGTAGAATAATGCCCTCTTTAGATCCCACATTTAAGTCGGATTGTATAAAGTTATTAAATTTGTTTCCGACGATTCGTGTACGTCGCATTTCATTCGACATTATATCTATTTCCCGTAGGAAGCATGCAACGGAATTGGAATTTGCGCGGATAGGCGATAAGGATTGGGAAAACTCACGTTGGACTCAAGGATTTAAGACGGTATCTTTTAGTCGATGTCGTAATTTTCGGGATCGCCGGGCAGGGTGTACATGTACTCACCGTTAGGGAGAATACCTAGAAAGATGAAACGGGGACAACTGTCGCTTTTTCTTTTATTGTTAATTGACGTAATAGCGTACGCACTCGATAAATCAATACCTTCAATCCAACGGAATCGATGTCGGTTCTTGAAAACCAGACGAGAAAGGCGATATCGAATAATTTCAACTTGTACCGAAGGTCTTAAAAATATAGAATCTAGACACGACTTATATCTGAATGTTGTAACAACACTGGGTACTCCCGATTGAATATAACGGAGAGCGCAAAACGGTTATCGATTATTATTAATAAATACAAGTGTGATATTAAATAAAATATCCGAGCCGCCGCAATTTTAGCTTACATAAACTAAGTAAATTAAATGAATTGACAAATACTTGAAGAAAATGCCGAGTAAAAATAGCTTTTGGCCCTTCCTACTTGTCGTTATCGATTTTTTTTCGTTTTTCCGAAAACACGCGGAAACAAATGATGCGTTTCCTTCGGAAACTTTGCGTTGTTGATGCGCAGGCCACGTGAAAAAGCCAATTTAGAAAGCAGGAAACCTCCGCCGCGTTATAAAGTTGCGGGGTATTGTTACGAAGTTGCACAATGCATCGCACCTCGACGATTATCTTCTCCGTCGATCAAAGCTGATTATTAACTGCCTGCCCGCGTTTTATCCGTCGCACTTGCCGTCGCATCGATTAATAATTAGCGGCGAACGAGTTGCGTGCGACAAAGTTGGTGTCGCGACGCGAGGAAGGAAGAAAACGAAGACGAACCGCCGGATTTTAATCAACGTAACGTACGGCTGTTCGATCGTCGTTAAATTAAGAGCCGCGATTAACAAACCACCGGAAAAGCCAGGAGAAACGGAAACACGCGTGCCGGAAGCGGCGGAGAAATTGAAACGGAAATTGCAAAGAGCTCGCAACGCGAAATATGCACTTTACGCGCGATTATATGCACAGACTTCGTACGAATAATGGCAGCGTTGCGCAATGAGAAATTGACGACCGCCATTTGATGAGACGATTGGTTTATGCGAATTAATATTCTAAACTTTCACCGGTGCTCGAATGCGGGGTAACTTGCGTTAAATCGATAGCGATGTACGTGACGATCGCACCGTTCAAATTATCAGTGCACTTGTGCCGCGAGATAAATGCAGAATATATAAATACGCCACAAGGCAGATTTAAGGATAAAAAAAATTGCTTTTATTGTTAGCTGGACGAAAATATCGAAATAGTAATTGCTTGACTGTAAATCGTTAAAAACGAAAGATTGTCTATAAATTGGACAGGAGATACGAAGTATTTAAGAAAACTTGGAATTTGATAATCATGAGAGTGGAATAAAAAAATATGATTCCACCTGATGAAAAACCCAGCATTATATGTCCGGTATTTAACGGCGCGCAGGACAGGTTGGAGAAAGACGGTATATGGATTCTTAGTAATTTAATTGACTACCTCCACCTGTGCCAGGTCCTAAATGGCTTTTACGTTTCTAATTAATAAAATAAGTATATATTTTATGTGTATATTATACAACCAATATATTCATACTAATTTCAAGTAAATTTTATTTTGCTAAAATTCCTACCTAGTATCTCACTTTTCGATTTGATGCTGTGTTAATGTTATGATTTTTTTTAATAACTTTGTTTTATCTGTTTGAAGCTTTGTTGCAAGATATATTAAAATTTAAGAAGTTACGCCCAGTTCAACGATCTCCTTGATATTTCTGCCTAAGGATCTGTCGAATGTCGATTTTTAATACATTCCCGCATTCTTGATCGTCCTGTATAAATCGCTATCAATTAACGGCCAAATAAAGCTAATCCACATAATTCCGTTATAATGAACATCGATGGAATACGACATTTTCACTATAACGAAGTGTGATTGAATCTCCGCGTCTAATACGCGGCTTGATGTAACGAACTTTTGGTGTAATAAATTCAATTTGGAGATCCACGGCGGCAGCTCGTTGTAACGAGATTTTACCGTAATAATTACGCAAGCGCGTCACGTACCGATGCGATAGATTTAGTTTAGAACGGCGCGTAAACAAATTTAAAGAACGATAACGAGTGAAGATTTAACTGGATATTAATAAAAGTGCGGTAGAGTGTGCGCAACGTGTTTTTATATGGGTTGGAGGGAATTAACCCTTTATCCGGATAATTTATTTTCCTCCAGGGATACCGTGATATTTAAAGGCACGGATTATGCACACATAAAAAAACACAATTAAAATATTGTAACATATATAATAAAAAAGCAAAAGGAGGAAATTTGTCTTTTAAAATTCGTTTTGGAAAACCAGGTATTAAATCTTATTAATCTTGGGGAAACAATAATCTCGGTTATTTTAGTTAATTGTTAAAACTAAAAGTTTTTAATTTTACTAAATAGCCTATTTTGATAATAGTTTAATAGACAATGCACGTTACGCGAATATAACGTAATGAAAGGCAGATGTGCATCGCGGTTTAATTTTATGGTCCACGAGGGTATTTTAGTTATGATTTTATGATGAAGTTTATTTCGAGAGATGTTAAAAAAAAAAGAGAAAATTTGTGCCTGGTTTCACGGGGAGGTCCGTCGGGGAAGCGGAGGGGAAGGCGCGCAAGAAGTTTCGTAACGATCTTCACGGAGGAGGAGATAACATGGTCGCAGCTCGCGAATTCACCTTGAGAATTAGGCTCCGGAAGATTCTCCCGCGGCACCAGATGCATCACCGTGGTTTTTCCAAAGGGAAGCCCAAGAGCACCGAGCGTGACATTGCTGTGCAGGAAACGACCCTGGTAGATTAGCCGCAGGATCTCCGCCTTGGCGACCGCCTCCTCTGCCCAGTCTGCAACACGAAGATAACATTTGCGGGATGCTGGGAGTTCTCTCTCCGGCTCGATCCAACAGTTCGCGAAAAGTTTCCGAAAGTGCCAAAGCTGCTCGATCCTCAAAAAGACGGCGTATGCTCGTAGAAAGTACTTGCGGTAAAAAGTACGAAACGAGAAAAGCACGAGGTCGCCGTCGCAGAGATTCGAGCATAAATTTTCTCGTTATTGTTTCTATCCCTCGCACAACTTAATAATTTTACGACGGTCTAACGCTAAACTTTTTTATATTGATTTATTATATTTATTTTGGAAAAACCGCTTATTTTAATTGCTCAATCTTTCACATTGTGACGAAAGCGACAATTTTGTATATAAATTTTTTTTATGCTGTCGGCAAGAGTTCATTCTTAACATTTTCGCAACTGCTCTTTAATTTCTAATTTTACACGTATCTAATTTTGTTAATTTCTCATTCGTGCCTGAAATGTTTAATCTACTGATTTAAAAGCTTCAGAGTAGCAGAGAAACCTAACGGATTCTCAAACACACACAGATATTTTACTGAATGATTTTGCAACTCCATTATCATGACGTGACGGCGCATCGGTAATTAATGATAATAATTGCGGGTAGCATCATATGCTACTATAACAATTATAGTAACGCTAATGGGGAACGGATTGGTGCAAGCGGCGTTTCGAAATGGCAATGACTAACTCACCTTCCGGCCAATTTTCAAACACATGGTGCGCTATATCGCCCGCGGAATCGCTTGGACTGAATAGGAACTCTTTTGTCTTGCCACTGACGAGGATGAGGCGTAGATTTATCTGTAATATAAAAAATACTGTGAGAGAGAGAGAAAGAGAGAGAGAGACCGACCAATTATGCAAATAGGAAAATGTATCTGGATACACTTGATTTTTCATCCTCTCAAATTTTTAAGATTTCAATTTACGAGTAGCGTTAGTCTTTATAGAAACTAATTCGCGCGCAAATTAAATTCCAGGTATTTACTCGATCAAAGTTGGCGTATCGTTTAGGGTTAAAAAAAACATAATAAATATTTTTACTTTTTCATCGAGCATAGAACTAAGTATCACACTTTTCGCAATGAAACTCGTAAAATTGCGGCGGATTTGCGCCAAGAGCGAAAGGGTTGAACGAGCACTCGTCGACTTTCCACCAGTGCCGGCGACAGCTGCGCACCGGCGAAATTACCGGGGACAGTCACCCCCGCCGGACGAACGCGAATTCAATTAACGTCGGGCAGGCAGGGGTGCGAAGATCGGGCAACATAAATAATTAGCAACCGACGACGACGACGAAGCTGGACCGGCGCGGGGGAGGTGGGCCGCTCGAAGGGCTCGGCCGACCGCTCGTAACCCTTTGCGGTCTCCGCGGTCGCGACAATCCGCTGTTAAAGCGTTAAATCATCGTCCCCGAGCGATGCGCATTATCGTCCGGCCGCACGCGAAACTTCCCCTTGGCATTGCGGAATTTTCGCGCCGGAGGCTGCCTGGCTGACCAGACTGCACAGTGTACAGCGGGCAGCGTTGTAAAGTGTAATGCGGGCGAGCGCATAACGAAGCTGTAACGAGGAAATTACGCGCGCCGGGAGATCCGCGAGTTCATTTTTATCCGCTGTACGCCTCTTTTTTTTCCCCCAGCCGCTACTAATTTGATAATCTTCCCGCGAAAAGTCTGCCGGATTTGCAAACACGCGGGCGAAAGTGGACCGTGGGTTTCGAGGAGAATAGAATTTCAACGCATTTTTCGTGCGCTCTGTATGAAAACTGTATACAAGAATGGAAATTTTAAAGCCGATTTTTCCTCCGGAGCGACGTTCAATGAAATTCCCGCGGAAAGTTCCTGATGCCGTGCCGCAAAATTTCTCAGTCTCCTGCATTAAATATGTCAGCTACGTCGGATTGTTATATAAATAGAATTTCTTCATTTCCATCTCCGCGTAGCTTTTTTGTGACTGTCGGATTTACCACGGAACAATTCTCTCGCCTGTGGTTTTTTTTTCATTTTAGATCACACGTGCACATTGATTGCTGCGAATAAATATAATTTCTCCTATTCATCCGCGAAATTACTTTGTCGGAAATTGTTTTTGCGCTTATGAATAATAGACAACTTAAAAAACCTCACACACAAAAAGCTGCAAATTCCACGTTTCTAAAAGATTGCTTTTAGTTGGAAAAGGTCGCGTGTGTCGAAACCAATAGCGCGGTAAAATTTGTCGAGTATTATTTATTATGAGAATATCCACGAGATACACGACAAAATAATGTATTATAACTCTTTGTTAAGGTAGTTATTTCGTAAAATCATTTATGTGAGAATTGTTTCAAATTTTTACAGTTTATTCTTTACATTACTACACTGACAAAAAAATTGTTTAAACTAAGTAAATAGATTTACTTAAAAACATTTTTATACTGAAGTAAATATTTATTCTATTTAAAAAAAAATCAAATTTTAAGTAAAACTATGTATTATATTCAGTAAATTAATTTAAATCATTACATTTTCTACATTCAAATAAAGATTTCATGAGATATAGAATACTATTTATTAAATAAAATAATTGTTTTTCTTAAATAAGAAATCCAATTTGCTTCGTTGTAAAAATTACATCTTAGTAAACATTTTATAGAATTAAAATAACATTTATTAATGCACAATATATATTTAATTTAAAATGATCTATTCTTTGATATTTAATAAATACTGAAATTAAAGCAATGCATAATTTAATTTGTTTATTTTTAAGTTTAAGTTATAAGCTATTCGGAGCCACCTAATGAATCATTTTCTTCAGTAAAGTAATATTTTTTGGATAAAGTTATTTTTTATCAGTGTACGTGCAAAATAAGACTAATTAAATAAAAATTGACCGTCTCAAGTTTAAAAAAATGTTAAAGACTAATTAAATAAAAATTAACCGTCTCAAGTTTAAAAAAAATGTTAAAGACTAATTAAATAAAAATTGACCGTCTCAAAGTTCTAAAAAAAATGTTAAAGTTTGCTATGTTACACGAAATATTACGTGTAAAACACGTTAAAAATATTATTATACGTAACAATATAATTCGTTGTAATATTATTACACGTGAAATATTATTTATACATATTATGTGTGAAAATATTAATATTTGCGTTTGCATACGCAAATAATGCAAATTGCATACGCACATTTTATTCTTTTTAAGTTTAACGGTGAGTGAGAATCGTATGAGAAACAAAAAATGTTATAAACTAAAATAGAACGAATAACTGGAAAAAAATCAAAATTATTGACCGTTCCGTTTCAATAATATACAGTTAAAACTGAAAAATGGGAAGAATTGTGTAGTAGACATGAGTGTAGTGTAAGAGACGTGGCAGCAGCGCCTCAAACTATAATCTTTCAAATCTACTTTATATTATGTACTAATCGTAAGGGTATTCTTTAGAATAATATTGCATCGAGATATATCATTGTAATAATAGAGTGCTGGTTCCTGTCTGGAGGGAACTTTTGAGCATTACTGTCGCGAAACACACAACTACCTTAAGCAAATAATCCGTTGTTTAAAGCAGTAAGCAATAAATTGCATACGTTTTCCAAATAAACGGTATATTGCTCGGGAGAGGGGTCTTTTCTCAGATTCCTATTATTGGCGATATCATGAAAAATAAGAAGAAAAGGGGGCGAAATATTGTGTAGAACGACCGTGCCGTGGAACCGTACAATACGCTTTGTAAAGCATGCCTCGAACCTTAATCCCGCTCTGTCATCTTCTAATACGCGAGATAAGAGAGATCGATAAGAGAGATATCGGTTTTCCGAGCAACAACGATTGAGGCGACTAGTTCTGAGCTCCATTCGAGTGCAAATTGCCGCAAGTTTATTCGCACGCGAAACCGCGTTTTCTATCGATCGTTCGGTCGAAAGGGCGCGACCAACCGTTCCGATAATTCCCTCATTAGTCCTCCAACGAGAGCCGGGAGAGAGACAAAGGGAGAGAAGGGAGGGAGAAAGAGGACACTTCATTTTTGCTCCATGTTCGATTTAGAATTTTAGGCTCACCGAGCGTGCATAGAGGAAGAGTCCTCTTTTCGTTGCGCGTTACGTACTCTCGAAATCCCCCGAATCCGCGTGCGCAAACTCACGAAAAGCGCGAGAGAGATTTCCGCAGACATATCTCCGAAACTTCAAAGAGACCGATTCATGCGATACCAGTCGATTATTCGAGTCACGTTGCCCGAGAACGCCAATTCTGTCCGCACCGCGAAACCTTTCGCGTCCGAAATTCCGATCGTTCCTCGTTCCGTCTAGTCTCGCGCGTAATTTGTCGCGAGAATATTTGCTCTATTTTTTTTTCTCTCGTTATCCTTCGAATTATTTAAAGTGCGGTTTTATATAACAAAAAAAAATTCTATTGTACGCTTCACGGTCAAAGACGCGATCATAATTAGCGACGAGAGGAGCCTTGAATTCTAAACAGAAGACAAGTCCGCGGCGTCGTAAAAGTGGAAGTCGCAATTACATATTCTTAATAGGTCACTCTGTATAACGGCACAGCTCGTTCGTGCAGGTACCATCACCTGGATATCTAGCGATGCGAATCTAACGATGTCACCACTCGATGTCCACGTCGAATATTTCGTTTCTTTCGTCACGCACCGCCTGATCGAACTTTCGCTGCTTTCACCTCGCGGAAAAAGCGCGATGAGTGGGTCTCATTTGCAAAAAAAAAGAAAAGAAAACACGACCGAGATTTTGGAGAAGTCAGTCCTACGTTCTCGGGCACGAATATTTGTTGAAAAATCTGGTATTACGAATTCAAAGGTGATAAGCGTAATTGTTTCAAAATACACAGACAGAAAAGAACAGTTGCAGTTACCACAATCTCACTATAACTTATTAGTCATTTTAGGAGCCAACCACATTTTTATAATTCTTCCAACTACGTAAGTTATGGTTGACCTAATGTTGACAATGTATTATAGTTCTCACAGACACAATATTGCTTCATTCAACTTATGATATGGTTGTCATAAACCAAAACGAGCTTTTAATTTGGTAAGGTGTACTAAAAATATTGCAATAACAATCACAAGTAAAATTTCGAATAACTATATGTAATAGTAATAATCGTATTTATATTGAAAGTAATATTCCCTGCTTTTTATTATACAGGGTGTCTGATAAAAATGTCGCCGAGTGGAAAATAGTGGTAGATTGGGTTAAATTGAGAAGAAAAGTCATATGACGCGTTGCAAAATTCGCAACAGTTATCGAGTAATTAATTTATACATCTGAGCGAATGAGGACGTATACGGTAGGCCGGACTTGGAAGCCATGTAAGATAATCGATCGATGAGCGGGAGGTGGAGCGACGCGCGAGATACAACGCAGTGCGAAAAAAACAGTGATCGCGGGACGGGCGGTGAGCAACGCGGCATATGACTTCTCTTCTCAGCTTAACCTAATCTACCACTACTTTACAATTAGCGACATTTTTATCAGACACCCTGTATATACATTGCGTTCACCACTATTCATTGGTTACATCACTTTGCACTCATAAAGAATAGTACAAGATAGCAACTTTCAAAGAAAAGATAAGTAATCTTATACGAATGCGTAAACTTATCCGTATTTATAACACCCTATGCGGTTTTCTTCTTACGAGAAAGTCTTGTACCGCGCGTCCCTCTAGTGAGGACATTCCGAACCACTTCACTTTTGTTTACGATGTGATTAGTAAGGTGGATGATAGAAATGTAGTTAAATTTACTGTTATTGTGATTGTATTTACTATATAAAAGTAATTAACTAATTTACTATTCATTACCTGAATATTTTAACAGAATAATAGAAGCTTATATTTTATAGTATAAATTGTTTAAATAGTTGACATCGCTGTGTCTCTATATGGTTGTTATTACTAATATTAAGCATAGTAATAATTACTATAAAAATGATATTCCTGACTATAATTATTTTACTATGCAATTATAGTCGCAAATACTACGTACTTTTCTGTCTGTGTAGTCGTCGGAAAAAAACGCGGGTACACAAATACTTTAGTCTTGAATCGGTTTGACAAATAAATTTTGTAAAATCCAATAATTCACGCGCCACGTTAAAATATTACAGTAATTAGTCGAAATCGCGCGAGATCCGTGTACTTTGCCGATAGAATCATAATTGACTTTCACTTTTGCACATTAAAACGTTTCATAAATCGCTGAGTTAACGTTAATAAAAGGTAGTCTAGTTCCAAGCACGTGCTGTGGATCTTCTCAGAAAGTTTTACATTATTATAGCTTCAAAGGCCGATAAACTTTCTACGATTTTAATTATTAATGATAAATTACAAAATAGAACCATTAATTATCATCATTCACGCTAGAGAACGTATTTTTAAATATTTCCGGTCGTTCAGAGCATCGTGAAAAATTTACATAGAAGTTTCCAGTACCATTTCCAGTGCTCTGGGGGAAAAAAAAGACAGCAACCCACTTTGGGGCCCACAATTAGTAATCGAATTATTTGGATTGTTCGTAACACTCTAATCTTTCACAAATTTTACCCCGCGTAACTAAAAATCGCAATTAACTATTCTATCTATATCCAAG